CCAATGCAATGTTCTGTCCTTCCATTTAAACTCAACTCTTGTTTGCATGTGATGTTCACACATTTCTAGAAAATTCAATGCACATTTTATTGTTATTTGGTGAGCTAACACTTAAAGTAATAATAAGCAATAATTGATGAAGGACTGTTAAATTATTGAAAATGACTATGCACTCCAAGGTGGTAATATGGTCACAAAACTAGGCTTGGTGTGCATTAATTTCCAATATTTCAAGCATCCTGACTTGAATCAATAATTACTACATTCAAAGAGCCATTATAAAACTAGAACACTGGTTCTTTTACTGTGGTATACTGTAAAAGTGCAGTCACATTTATCATAGTTTGGCAAATTTTTGAGGGCCAAATCCAGTCATGTCAATAGGAATCCAAAGGATTGTGAATTTTGTGTTCGGGCAAAGGATTTCCCTATGCAGAGTTCGCAACAGGTTAAAATTGGTCATACGACACACTGACCAAAGCTGCTTGTTTTGAAAGTGACTTTATTGTGATCTGTTCGGTGGCTCAGTAGTGCAGAACACAACAAAATTAGCAAAACACAACAAAATTGCCACAACACAACGCATAGGTCTAATTTCGCTGTGATGTGGCTTGTTTCTGTTGTGTTGTGCTAATTTTGTTGTGTTGCAGCTTGTTTCCATTGTGTTGTGCTAATTTCATTGCATTGCGGCCTGTTTCCGTTGTGTTGTGCTAATTTCATTGCGTTGCAGCTTGTTTCCGCTGTGTTGTGCTAATTTTGTTGCGTTGCAGCCTGTTTCCATTGTGGTGTGCTAATTTGGTTGTGTTTTGCCTTGTTTTCGTTGTGTTGTGCTAATTTCATTGTGTTGTGGCTTGTTTCCATTGTGTTGCGGCTTGTTTCCATTGTGTTGTGCTAATTTTGAAATAATGAAATAATGAAATCAAGATACAAAAATTCCCACAGCTAAAAATAAGGACATCAGCCAATCATATTAATACTAAAAAATAATAATAATTATCATTATTACAATAATTATCATCATTACTACTACTACTACTACTATTACTAAGTAGAGAACAATACAGACAGAAAATAGCCCCAGCTCACTTAACACATTCAGATTATAATTAATGAATGCAATTTAATAATCGCACAAGGCCATATCGTGATTTAGATTTTATTTTCATTTAATAGCTCAGCTCAGACAGGCAGACAGACAGGCTAGACAGAATGATAGATAGAATGTTAGAATGATGAAAAGATAGATAGATAGATAGATAGATAGATAGATAGAGCTCAGAAATGAAACAAGAACAGTTAGTCCTAATTCACATAGGCCGATGACTCTGTCAGAATAATGGTATTAACCGAGAATTGCTACATGTGTAGACATAGATTGCTATCTATGTATGTACAGGAATGTAGTATGTACTTGTCTCTTCTTGTACGTTTGCGCACACAAACTATGTGTTTTTGTCCCTGTGTGTGTGTGTTCCTGACTGTGTTTGCAGTCTCTCTCTCTCTTTCTCTCTCTGGTCCTGTCTGTGTTTTTCAGCAGGGCTGGTATGGGTTCGGCAGTACAAGGTTATTTAGAAGTTCTTTTGAGAGGTGAGGCTGAGCGAGTCAGCGAAAAGCAGACAGCGCCGCCGCCAAATGGACTCAGATCACCACAGAGCCCAATTAATTCAGCCTCATTACCATCCACCCCACATCCCGTTCAACACCCTGACCAAGGACAACACATGCTAATACAACTCCCCTAACACATACAATAAAAACGCCCAACAAACTCAGGCAAGCACACTCACACACACATACGAATGCAAACACATCAACCACTCCACATATGCTCAAGTGCACACATTCATGCTCATAAACTCATCCAGCATTCTTCAATGTCACCTGAATATATATCAATATATACACAAAAAAAACACTTGAAGACACGCCATGCTTTTCAAGGTAAATCACTTTTTATCATCATCATTTTACTTCATTAACAAATGGCTTTACTTTTATTGTGTATGATGCATTACTGCAGGTTATTCTGAAGATAAATGTTTTTATAATCTTTCATTAAAATGTAAAAGCTTTCTCCGCCTCTGAAACAACATTTTTGCTGACGCAACCAGGGCTGCATGTGCAGGAAGAAATAATATTATCCAGTAATATCATTGCCTAGCCTTTCAAGTCCTGCCCTACTTTATTTCTTGATAAATATTACAACGTACAAGCCCCACATTAGGGAAATGCATTGGGTTGCTGTTGAATAAAGAAAATGATAATCACTAAAGGTTAACTACAAGTTTCTTAGGGACTGGGTATCTTTAGACAAATAAAATAAAATAAAACAAAATCAAATCAAAGTAAAAATAAAATAAAATAAAAAGTTAGTCACATTTGGCTCTATGTTTTGACCTTAAAATATCACTCATTTAGTACATCCAGATAAGTAAAGCTGAAATGTAAGAATATGTGAAGAAGTTTTCTCTTTTGCAGCTTCTTACATTTCAGCTCTCCTGATATACGGTATATAGCTTTGATAATTCTCCTTGGTTTCTAATTTCTTTATTGGCCATCCATCTACTCTTTATGTAAATATAAATTAACTTGCCACTACATGCATACATAAAATTATCACATTTTTCCATTTTTATTAAAATTGTATATATATACCTGTATATATATTTTACATTTCCATTTTTAATGATTTTTCATTAACTTGAAATTACAATTATTTCAAACATAAGCCCTAGTGCATCCAAGAAATGTTTGATGCTTTCGGTGTCATGTGCCAGCATCTTAAGTATGTGTTTAGCTGGTCCTCTGTTGGCAACTTTAGGTGTGTCAGGTTAAAGCTGGGGTGTGAACGTTCATCTGCTTCAGCTTTGTATGAAGCACATTTATTCTAATCAGCCACTGGCAGCTGAAGCATAACCATTAACACACATTTATTCTAATGGATGCAGAGTAGCGGTCAGCCGCCATGCTAATGGGGGTGTGTGTGACAGCGCAGTGCGCCGAGAGGCCAGCGGGGACTCATGTGTGTCAGAGTGTGTGTCAGCTCTGTCTCACTATCAAGGCCACCATCACAAGTTATAAATGTTAATGCATTCTCCCTCAGATTGGCACAAATGGACACAGATGCACGCTCACACGTACACACACACAAATTGATCTGAGCTTAACAGGCCAGTTTTATCTCAGCAACGGCGGGTGGGTGGGATGAGAGAAGGAAAGCTGTGAGAGATCGAGTGTGAATTCAATGATCCTCAGCTTGTCTTGAAAAACTTGTAAAATTACTCTCAAATTTATGACCGAAACAACCCCCACCAGCATCCAACCAACCCACCGCGCTATACGCCACGAGACACCTGCGCTGGCAGAGACATGATGTCCGCATGCCTCCACTCTGTCTCCAACTTCCCTAGCAGCTCAAGGACAAACGGAGGTCTGCTTTAAAGACCACATCAAAAACTTGCCAAAAGCATTCTGTCTTTCAACCTAAACAGCGTTGAGGGTACTAGTAATCGAAACCCCATTCTACGCCCATCACAGAGGTGTCACAGGACCTCACAAACATAGTGGTAGGAATCTTTCATCTCAGTTTTTGCATCAGCATAGGAGTACAAGAGATTATTAAGATATTAATACTTTTATTCAGCATGTATTAAATTGATCAAAAGTGACAAAGAAAAAAAATTACAAAATTTTTATATAAGTTTTTATTTATTTATTTATTTATTTATTTATTTAATGAAATAATCCTGAATATATATATATATATATATATATATATATATGTATATATGTATATATATGATAAAATAAATCTAGCCTTGGTGAGCTACAGTACATCTTTACTAACCTAGGGCCCTATGATTTTTGCAATACGGAAAATGCAGACGGAATCGCGGAATCCAGTCATAAAAACAGAATTTACTGTATAATGCGGAAAGTCACGGAAATTGCCAAATTTTGAATAAATAAATCAAAAGTAGGTCAGTGCCCTTCAATCAAAACGCAATATGGACTTGTGTCTGTGAATATTAAGCTACAAAAAGACTGTTCTGCAGAAACAGATATTCTGCATGTTTTGCAGAAGAAGAAAATAAATGAATATTAAATTAACAATTTTTTTATAAAAATCAATTAATTAGAGATGCTTTTGATTATTACATTCAATTAAACCATTAGAATGGAATCCAGAAAGCTAAAATGGAAAACACAGAATTTGGTAAAAATAAACCTGAATTTGAGAAACATAAAATGTATTTAATAGGGCCATAAAAATTTAATTTTTGTTAAATTTTTAATAAATTGCTGTTAAATTGTATGTGTTTTATGATTTCAATTAATTACACATGCTTTTTTTTATTTATAAAATGTAATTTAAGTCCAGAAAATTTGAAGTGCAAAAAAAGGAAAAAACGGAATTTGGAAAAAATTAAATAAAACGGAATTTGTGTGTGGGGGGGGTGGATTTTTTTTTTTTTAAATCCATTCCTACAAAATGGATAGAGCCCTACTAACCCCAAACTAAACAGTATAGTGTATATTAAAAATAAATAAATAAATAATTACAATTAATTATAAACATTTCAATCATTGATATGACAACTAGTACATACTAAAAATTAGCCATAAAATTTTCTAAAATTATCGATTTAGTAGCTTTTGGAACTGACCTATATCATTAATCGCATCAATGCAGGTTGGTTATTTTCAATAACCAGAATTACTAATATATTTAATATATAAACATCCTGATTATTTTTGTGGATAAAGTAGAAAGTAGCCAAAAAACACACCTCCAAAAGAGAGCGTAAGATGTGTTCAGAGTCACCAGGGGTCTGACAGCACCAACTCCAGCACTGACCACTGAACCACAACATGTTACAGCAAAACCTAATCACAAAACCTAACAGCAACTGCCGAGTCTCAGGGGAACCACAGAGAGAGGCTGAGGGTGTAAGAAATTACAGATGAACAGAGCAGAATCTTTATTTATTGCCACAAGACCAAGACTGCTGTATTACCACGACTTTCCCACAATGTTGACACAGAAGGGACAATACAGGGACAATTGTCGTGGAAGAGAGGATGAAACAAGAGCTAATGTGGCTCAGAGGAATATTTTTTCCCTTAAAGAGATAGTTCACCCAAAATATTTCTATAATCATTCACTCACTGTAATCATGCTGCTACAAATCTAATGACTGTCTCAAGTCACTGCTTGCTTACAATCAAGCGTAGCGTTAGTTCTGGCAGGTCACGTTAGTCAAGCTCGCATCAGCTGACTCTCAGCTGATCCCCATCTACCTATGGGAATACGACACCTATCTAAGCATTCATATATAAGGTCCCTCAGTATTATCAGCAGTTTTCGCATTGCTCAATAGCTAATTACCCTCCTCCATCCCCAACTCCTCCTCTGTCAGTCGGGATTCAGCCTTCTGATTCTCCTTGAATCAGACTAATTCTAAAATGTGTACATAAAATGATTGAACTTAACAATATCTGCTATACATTTCTGTTAGTTCTGTTCTGTTTACCCTGGGGGGTTATTGCTGCTCTCCCTGCTCTCATCCATGCTAGGCTGCATGGAGGCGCAGGGAGTTCTTGCCCAGAACAGAACCATATCGCCAATCCAAACTGTATGCTAATTGTCAATCATCTTTGATGATAGTGGTCCTGACAGAAGTTTATTATATGGAAGTGAGTGAATGCAGTGAAAATGAATGGCAACTGAGGCTGTCAATCTTTCTGTGTTTCAAAGGAAGGAAGGAAGAAAGGAAGAAAGGAAGAAAAAGGAAAGAAATGGTCTTCCTCCTATTAGGATCAAACCACCCACCTTCCAGATCCCAGGACCGAGTGGACGACATTGATTTAAGCATGCTGATCGCTTTTTTTTTCTTTCTCTCTCCCTCTATGTCAGTTTGTTCACTTCAGCCCTCACTCATTGATCAACGGCTCTAGCTTCTTCCCGTAAATCCTCCCATCGTCATCCAATCAGCACAGCCGGGCCTGACGTCACCTCCATAAAACACCTCTTCCTCAACAGTCCACAGATGATCCCAATCAAATGAAAGAGAAGAACACTCCTGTGGCCGATCTGTGGAGTTACGCTAATCTGTCCGCTTTCAGTCAGGGACGGCGTGTTTGATGGCTAAACACAAGCGGACGTTTGTTGCCATTTGACTCTTGATGAAAGCCTGTTATTACCAGAGGCATTATAGAGCGGGTGGTGTTGAAGCGTCTCTGCTTTCATCTTCACTCGCCGTGGCCTCTTCATCTTGATTGGGATAAAGGGTAGACTATTGAGGTCCGGAGAAATGAACCTCCTTTTCTTTATCACACTTACACAAACACACACACATACACCTGACAACAAATAGACACTTGAATCTCGTAAGAGATGTTTTCTCTAAATTTCGACAAGAGTGCTCTGATATTTCTCAATTATTGTAGGACTGAGAGAGTGGGATTTTTTTTTTTTTGGATAAGCCACAAGGATAGGACGGGCACTCTGAGAGGCAGTGAGGGATCACACTGATGCCGCTGAACCATGTCACCATTGGCGACACACACACACTGACAAGTGATCAAATAGGCAGTGCTAAAAAATGTTGACACTTATAGCTCTTACTGTGAAGACTGAGGATGAAAATGGCACGGAGAGAAGAGATT